GGCGGTGGTTTCTGCGGGCGGGAGGCCGCGGCCCGCCCCGGCACCGCGTCCCCGAGGGAGAACGGGGCGGCCGGCAGCCCGGGCGGGGAGGAGGGGGACGGCGGCGGCCGGGCCTGGCGGGCTGCCCTCGGCCGGGCCGCTGCAAGGCCACCGGTGGCTCCCCTGAGAGCCCCCGAGGCTGGCAGAGCCGGGCGGGGGCAGAGGGGAAGGCAGAGGAAAGGGTTAGAGGGGTTTGGGTTGTTTGGGGGTTTTGGTTTTTTTTAATTATTATTTTGCAGCTCCCCTATTAGAGGAAAAGCCCGTTTTTTGGAAAAATATCCCGCCCCACCGGTTTTCAGTAGCTTTAAACCGGCGGTTTCTGTAGAGGGTGACGGACGGTGAGGCTGGCTGCACACCCCCCACCCCCGCCTTCCCCTTGCAAGTTACCTTTCCCATTTTAAATATAATTTTGCCTTTTTTTTTTTAAAAAAAAAAAAAAAACAAAACCCACCCCAGCTTGTGCAGCTGCAGAGCTGTGCCCGGAGGTAGGCATGCGCTTCAGCTCAGTGAACCTCAGCTGATGGTTACAGCTTATCTTCATGCACTCAAGGACAAGAAGTTTTTTCTTATTAAGTGTTGCAGAAGGGAGTTGTCTTTCATGGAGTAGGAATTTATGGTTATCTAAGAATTTCTGCTTCGCATTTCGTCTTCCTTTGAAACTGGTTTTGCTGGCTTTGATGGGAATTTGAAGGAGACGGTCGGGGATAGGGATATTGCTTAGAAGGAGCAGCCTCTTTTGTATGAAAGATAGAGTAGAAAACTTGTAACTGTTTCCTATTCCAAAGGCTAAACAGTCTATTACTGTGTGAACAGCTCAGTGTTCACACACAAATAAATAAAAAGTAAATAACTCCTCAATAGTTGAACATCAGTTTTGTAATTATGCTATATTGAAACTAAACCCCCAGAATTTTGGTAGTTTGTCACTGCTATTATATTAAATACACCTGTTCTGACCCGATTTACAAAGTTTTTGTTAGCACTGCTTAGTTACAGAGCTGGGAGTAACCTGCTCCACATGCTACCCACCTGAAGTCAGAGTTTGGGAATGTCACTTTCGTGACTCAGAAGCACATAAGAAACTACATACTTACATGATGTGGGTTTCAAATGGTAAATCAAACTAGAGCACTATTCAGTCTTAATTTTATTTATACTTGAGAGTATATATACTTTATATACCCACACAGTTAAATATATCTAAAATATTTGCCTTTTGTTGGCTGTAGTAAGTAGTAGGTACGGTACAAAAATTGCCAGTGTTAGCATTGCCTGATAGTTTGTTTTTTAAGTCTCTCTTTTAAACTATTCTCTTATAAAATTTATTTAACTCTATTCAGCGCTGATAAATTAAAAACAGTAGAACAAGTGGTTTCCAAAAATTCTTGCATAAGCACTGAATTTTGTCACATTTTTCTCCTGAATTTTGTCTTAGCAATTACACTTTTTATTTTATTGTGAGAT